TATATATATATATATATATATATATATATATATATATATATATATATATATATTTTCAATATCAAAATTTCTATTCCAATTTTAAATATAACAAAAAATGAACTTAATCAATATTAATTAAAAAATCAAGTTTCATTGACTAAACAATGTTATTTTTTTTTGTTATACAAAAAATTTATAATCAAATAAAAGCTTAATAAATATAACAATTAATATGAAACGAAAAAAATTATGTAGTACTACTAAGATCTTTCAAATATATGTGGAAGTTCTAAAATTGGAAGTCTCAAAAATATTTAATGACGATAGGTTAAAGCACATGATGAAAACGTGATCATAGATGACGTGGCAAATTTCTATTGGCTATGAGACCTATAATTTTATTTAATTTTGAACGGACAATCTATTGAAACTCAGAGGGAGCCAGGAATTAAGATACATATGTTTTACGTTTTACATGATATTCTAATAATAAATAACAATAAAATATTTAATATAATCTCATAAATAAAAAATATAAGAAAAATACGAATATATATGCCGACCTTAAAAATATTTGTGGAATAGAAAAAATGACAACAAAATATCGCAAAATGAAATACTCCACTAATAAATAGTAGAAATAGTACATAAAAGAACAAGAAATTATGTGATTACTAAATGTTATGGTTTCTTTAATCCATTTAATGTAATACGTTTTTTCATTTTATTCACTACGTTTATTTCTTCATGATGTTGTGTTTTTTAAAAGTCAATTTGACTAATTTTTAAAGTTAGATTAGATTACATTAATTCGATATTTTAGAAAATTTTTTTTAGATATTCAAAGAATATATAAAAAAAGTACTATAAATTGCAATTTTTGCATATCAATATGATAAAATAATACATCTTAAAATATTAGTTAAAATTGTTATAATTTAACTCTAAAAATAAAAATTATGACAAATAATAGTGGATGGAGAGAATAGTTTGTTCCTGAAACAAGTTAACTTTTATTTGTTATCCTTAATAATAGGATTTACAACTATATATAAATATCTAAAAATTATTTTAAATTACAAATTTCAATTTTTTTTAAAAAATATGGCATCAAATCAAATAATGCCACATTAAATATAATGAAAAAAAGTATAAATCATGAGGAAATGGGTTTATACTAAGCAAAAGATGAAATAATTATAAATATTTATATTATTAATATTTACGTAATTCTAACCAACTAATACACGATCGTACCCATCTTTTATGAAATCTCGAATAAAACGTTTTATTTGTTGAGTCATTGGTGGTCCCTTAGAGCGTATAGACGAATGAAATTGTTGATGATTCTCTCTTATTGACAAACCATATGCTTATTTTATTATTATCTCTTTGTTTGGAACTATTTTTTTAGTACATATATTAAAGTTTACCAAAAGAAGAAAAAGACATAAGTGCTGTTCTTTCTTAATAATTTTATGTCTTTTTTTTTTAATTTTATTTTTTATATCCATTGGTTGCAACTCAAAAAGGAAAGTAGTATTAGAAAAGTCTTTGAGAAATCAATGCTCTTCATTTTTTTTTTCCTTTTTCTAAACTAGGGTTTCTATAACAACAACTATTTGTGTCTTCACTCTATTATAATTTAACTTATAAAGTTTTTTCTAATTTCTTTTTCTCTTCATCTTTCAGATCTAAGAAACCATAAAGTTTTTATTTTTAGGGGTTATTATCCACTTCAAGATTTAGAATCTTTCTATTTTTGGAAACTTCTCATGAATTGGTAGGATTTCTTGATTTGGAGTTAAGTATTATGTTGTCTTCAAAATAAGTTGATCATTTTAAGTGATTATTTATATTCATGATTTGTTTGTTCTATTTATGGAAACTTGTCATGGATTGCTAGGATTTCTTGATTTGGTTGTCTTAAAAAAAATTGACCTTTTAAGTGATTGTTCATATTCATGATTTGCTTGTCTCAAATCTTTGTTTAGATACCTTTCTATTTTTGGAAACTTTCTCATGAATTGGTAGGATTTCTTGATTTTGTTGTATAGTTTTGTCTTAAAAAAAAGTTGATTCATATTCATGATTTGCTTGTATCAAATCTTGATTTAGAGACCTTTCTATAATCGGAAATATTCTCGTGAGTTTCTTAGCCACTTAACTGTAAGAAAAAAGACGTACAAGTGGTTGAACCACTTGATTATAACAAGGGGTTTCTTGATTTTGTTGACTTCAAAGTTGACCCTTTTAAAATGATTATTCATATCCATGATTTTCTTGTCTCAAATCTTGATTTAGATATACCTTATGAATTGTTATGATTTCTTGATTTGGTTGACTTATAAGTGTTAGAATACCCTTTTAAAAGATTATTCATTGGTCTCTAATCTTTGATTTTTATTAACGGAAGGTGGAAAGAGGATATTTCTGAAGGACGTCTAATACGTTAAGGGCATTTTTTCGCGAAGAAGAAAATGGTGAGGGGAATAACTGAGATGAAAAGGATTGAAAATACAACAAGTAGACAAGTGACATTCTCAAAAAGAAGAGGTGGACTACTTAAGAAGGCATTTGAACTCTCAGTTCTTTGTGATGCTGAAGTTAGTCTCATCATATTTTCTCAAAAAGGAAAACTTTTTGAGTTTTCAAGTTCAAGGTACACTCATAATTTCATCTGATATTATTAAATTACTCCTTTTTCAACTTTTATTTTTTTAATTACATATATTATACATCATTAATTTTACTATAACTGGCCTTTAGGATTTGATGTAACAAGAAGTACCAAGTACAATGATCACAACAGCTCATATTGACAGTGTAAAAGGGACCCTTATTACCTTCTTGTGTTTCTACTAAATAGTAGTTTCCCTCTTTTTTTGAGTCCAATTAATAATCAATCTTTAATTATACTAATAACATATTCAGTGTAATTTTATAAATAGATACTCAACAGAATAATGTGTATACAACTTTGTCCCTGTATAAATTTTAGTGGCTAAACTAGGAGTTATGTTTAGTGCGTTGATCAAAACTTCATTTATAATTCTAAATATAATTTACGTGAATCCAATAGTGTTAAGAGATAAACATTCAGATACGCAGGAAAGGGATGTATCCGAGAGTGGGATAGAGATGTATCAGAGAGAGGATAGGACATCCATCCTGATAGATAGAGGAGAGATGTATCCGAGAGGGGAGTGATTTATTAGAGAGGGATAGAGATGTATCAGTAAGAAGAGAGTAACGTATTCGAGAGGGAATTTTTGAATTTTTTTTTGAAAGATAAGAGTGAAATAAGATGTGTATGTAGCAATTTTTTCTAATTCAACATAGTTGTTTTTTACCTATATGCACTATTTTCTATGTTCACAATATAATTTTTGACTAAACCCTTGGGTCAATGTAATTATGCCATTCCATAGCTACATTATGAAAATATAGAAACTAGAGATCGCTTTTGATAAATCTTCGATTAAAAAGTAAAAGATTATACATACTAACAAGTAGTATTGATGATAGTACATATGAGGTATTTACAATATAAGTACATCATATATAATCCATATAAATTCTTGATTAAGCTGTAACTAGTACTATTTGTAGACTATTTTATGTAAAATATGTACTGGCAAATTACTCTTCAAACAAGAAAGTAAAAATTTTGAAATATGTGACAAGATGCTTCTTGTGGCTTAAATTATTTTTGGAATATATAATATGAATATACCTGAAGACAAATTGTACTTGCTATCAATATTTATTTCCAATGCCCCAAACAACTTTTTGTATGTTTATAACTTAAACTCGTTTGGTTTGAGTATAAGGTATGATGAATTAATTATGATAGAATAAATTATGCTGATATTAGTTATGATAAAGTTAATTATATTAAAATTATTTTATATTGAGTGCTTGATAGGTATGACATAAATTTTGTTTACATGATTGTACCTTATGTATTTAAAATTAAAAACTTTCTTCTTATTGTTTACATGATTTTACCTTTTGTTTACATGTTTGTACCTTTTGTTTACATAAATTATAATCTTTTTTTTTTATATACAGATTTATGAAAAATCAAAATTTAAATGAACATAATTACTCAAATAAATTCACAATAACAATTATATATATTTAGTGTAGTATTTTAATTAACAAAATATGAAGAATTATCATAAAAATAAGGAGTAGAGAAGGACGGGAATGTGTTATTATACATGAATTAAAAATCATATTAATATACATGAATGTGAAAAGTGAGATATAATTTTTTTTAAGAGATATATCTATAATTTTTATCAATTTTATTTTGGAATAAATATTCCGAGATCACTATAAATCCAAAGGGAGATATATACATAACTTATCCCGTGACAAGTTATATGTTGGGCTTGCCAACAAATCAACAAATTAAATGATCTTATAATTTAATTGTAGGACTATTTGGTGTTATCCTTCGTACTGACAACTCCTTAGTGCTAAACCCTTGACGTCTGCTAATTATCTTTCCTTTTATTAGATCCTCTAACTATTTATCAAAATAGAAAGAATCAAGTTCTTTCCGTCTCAATTTATTTGATATTATTTAGTTAATCACAAAATTTGAATTTTTTCTTTTTTTAAAAAAAATTATAATCTAAAATAAATATTAAGATGATATTATTTGCAAGACAAATTTTAAAAAAAAGGTGTGCAATCTAAATTGGGAGGGAGGATTAGAACCTTCATATACTTAGCTCAGTCTATAATTAAGAAAAGTTTGATTAAAAATCAAGGACGGCTCAACAAACATGAAGGCTTAAAGCGAAATCTTTAGTAGAGGTCTAAAATCTAAACAAATTATGTATATATGTTTGAGCTCGGATTAAAAAGGATAAAAGAATTTGTAAAAATTTCAAAAGGACAATAAAATTTATTTTACAATCAAAATGACAACCTTTTAATAATGAAATTAACGTCGTTAAAATTAGATTAACAGACACAAAATGCGAAATTTCATGTGTCATGCCCCTTGCAAGGCTTTAATGGAAAAAATTCCCTTAATTTGTTCTAGGTCTCCAAAAATACCTAAAATACACTCAACTAATTCCAATATTTACACATTTGACCTTCCTATTCATTGTCTATGTTAACCAAGGAAAATTTTGCCATTTTAAAGAACTCCACCATTTTCATGAAAAAAAAAGACCAAAGCCTATTTTTACTACGATAAGCTATTATAGTCGACGTTACAATTTAAGATTTAAATTTTAGTGCTTCTATATTTATTGAGGGAGTTGGGTGGTAAATATAGAACCAATAAAATTTAAACCTTGAAATTGTAAGTTTGACTATAGTAATTTATCTTAGAGAAAAGGTTTTGAACTTTTCTTAATCAATGGTGGAGTGTACTAAAATGACAAAATTGTCCTTGATTGACATGGACAATGAATAGGAAGAGGTGTAAATATTGTGAATAGATGAGGGTATTTATGGTATTTTTGGAGACTTGGACAATTAAAGGGATATTTATTATTAATTTGACAACAGATCACAGAATATATACTTGCGCATTGCAAGACACATGAAATTTCGCATCTTGCGGCTGGCAATCTAATTTTAACGATATTAATTTAATCGTTAAAAAGTTACCCTTTTAGTTTAAAATGAATTTTATTGCCCTTTTGACAATTTTTTTCTATCATTTTGGCTTCAGACTCACATACATCTTATTAAAAAATTATTGTTCTTACACTTTTAAGATGCAAATTAATTACTTAATGTTTTTTTAATAAATGATTTGGTCAAATATTTATTTTTTCAATAATTAATGTTAGATAAGTTTCATTAATTCAAAGTTGAAAATCACCCTTTCACTAATAAAATTATTATATGAATAGTTCACACTATTCTATTAGTAACAAATTTAAAACAAAAGTGCTAAAAATACAGAATCTAATTCAAGAAATTGATAACTTGATTTCCACCTTAATATAAGTGTTTTAATCTTGAAACTTTAAGAAGTTATAAGAAAATTACGATTCATTTTTTTCAATATTTTTTGACTAGTAATTTATATTTTTGATAGAACATTATTTTAACTTATCAAAAACTTGAAAAGGAAAAGTACATAAGCAATTAAAAAAGAGAAAAATAATGAGAATGTTAGCAAAAAAAACATGTAAGAAGGTAAACAATTCTTGATAATAAAATAATATATTAATTTTTTCTATAAAAAATTTACATATAATTTATTTTTGGTAAATGTTTGAGGCCCCCAATTTGCATATGCCTTATTTTCTCACCGTATAAAATCGCTTCGGCAAGAAATTTTTGTACTATTTTTGATAGATCAAAAAATAAATTACAAAGTTCTCTTATTCAAAATACTCGTTCTTCCTTCATGGATACCACTCTTTAATTAATTAAAATTTTCGATCCAATTAACAACTTTACAAGCTCTAGATTGTTAATAAGGATTCGAAGTTTAACTAAAGAAGAGGAATCATGAAAGAAGAAAGAGGATTTGAGATAATAGAACTTTGTAATGAAAAGAATCATAATAAGTTAGAATTGATTTCTCTTGAATTGATTACAAAAGCCTAATGCCGCCCCTATTTATACACGTCTACAGATGATTCTAGATATATCTACAATAATTTTTTTGATAACTTTATCTTTCAACCATCTTAAAAGGATTCTAGAATTTTAAAATCTATATATAAGATAAATATCTAAGATATTTCAATCGATCATTCGAGAAGCTTTTTAACAAATGTAAGGTTTTTTTTGTCATTTCAAAAAATTATCTTTTTACATCCCAGTGGTAAAAGATATAATTATCGATATAGGCACTACAATTTTTTGCAACAAATTTCAAATATACGAAATAAATTAACACAAATAAAATAATAAGAAATAAAAATATTACTAATAAAACAATATGAGTACAATTCTGTTTCTCTTTTGATTCTTGTCTCTCTTAAGATTTCTTTGTAAATCGAGGATCATTCATGTCATATTTTTTGAACTAGAAAGATTTGAAATTGATCTTCATAAAATGAATTGTGGATCTTCTTGAATATTTGATTGTCAAAAATAGTCTAAGCATATTTTGATCTCTATATGGGATATTCGAAAATCTGAAAACTATCTCTTTAGGGGAAGTTTGTCCAAGTCAATATAACATATAAAGATACGACACCTGAGGCTAACTTAATCTTAAAAACTATCTCTTTAGGGAGATTTGTTCAAAAAGAGACAAAATTTTTCATCCCTCTATGGAACTTCTTAACAAACATGATACAAAAAGAGTGCAAAAAGTTGATTAGGGTTAAGATACCAAATAGGGTGTAACCAAATAGGAAAAGCCTAGTCATGAAAAGACACTAGAAATTAGGGAGAAGAAGAAAAGACATGGGCAAAATCCAAGATAAATGATCGAACAACAACTCACAATTCCAAAAGAAAGACAAAATAATGATCTAACAACAACTTACCATTCCAAAAGATAATATATTTGCCACTCTGGGTGAAAAATAATACTAAATGTGGCTACCACAAGTTTAAAAAAAGCCAAAGGGGAACAAGTCAAGGAGAAAGAAAGGGTGGAATTCATAGATACAATGTTCTATTTGGACTCTTTATCACACCAACCTAGAGAAAGAATATGGATAGTACAAAAATCTATGATGTACATTGCTGCAATTTACCTCTCAACTAGTGCATTATGAAGTCCAACAAAGAGGCACTAAACACCTTTTGAATGTGACTAAAATTTCAGGATCTTAGGATTCTACCAGATTTCATGTCAGATATAACTAGATAAACGCATTTTGGCAATCAGACACACTAAAATAGGGATAGGGACAGAGATGAGCGAGATTGGATAAAGGTGAGTGTGAGAGTCAAATACATGCAAATCCACTTGAATAATGTAAACAATTTACAACTAATTTTGACCTCATACATCCAAGATAATGTAAATTTTAGGCTCTTAGGATTCAAACATAGAGTCATGACATTGTTAAAACGGCTTAAGATATAATGGGGGATTCAAGTTAGTACAAAATCAACGGCGATGTCATAAATTTTATCAAGGTTGTTCAAGATTTAATATATACATATAAAAAGTTTGATTTGTATACTTCGTAGAATTTTCTATGTATATAATATAACTTGTTAACAAAAGATGTTCAACTGATCATTCTTCATGTTTTTTTTCTTTTCCATTATTGTTGAGTAACATGTTGGAGAACTAATAGTGTGAGTTTCTTCTCTCTTTTTTTTTCTTTCTTTTTTACAGTACTAACAAGACAATAGAACGTTATCAAAAGAATGACAAGAATTTGGGTCATGAAAATATATTACTTGAACAAACTACAGAGGTTAGCATTCTTTTCATTTATGCATGTACTTATCATACATGTATAATAAACCTTTAATATATCTTGAACATCTTTAACGAAATTTTGTATTTGCCATAGTTGTATGTATAACAACAACATCCTCAGCTTGATCACTTGATCTCCTCAATATTTTTTTGGTCTATCTCTATCAGGGGCGGAGCCACCTTGGTAAAGGGGGTTCATTCAAATCCCCTTCGACGAAAAATTTATACTATTTATACATGGTTAAAATAATATTTTATGTATATATGTAGTAGATGTCGAACCCCCTTCGGCTACTCCGTATATCTATTGAAAATTCTGATTCCGCTACTGATCTCTACCTCTTTTCATACTCGCTATATATCCAGTCTCTCACATTTCCTCACTGGGCATATGTGCATCTCCTTCTCATAAGCCCAAGTCATCTTAGCTTTGTTTCCCTCGTTTTGTTCACAATGACGGTCATTCTCACATTATTTCTAATCTTATCACTCCTAATGTGTCTGCATATCCATCTCAACATCCTCATTTCCTAACTTGCATAGTTTGAACATAAAATTTATTGACTGGTCAACACTCTGCCCTGTACAAGATCAATGTAACCAATACTTTATTGAACTTATCTTTAAGTTTAAATGGTACCTTCTTATCACGTAGACAAGATTTCAGAGGAAACAATAGTTTGTATGTAAAGCTTATTTTTTATTTATAATTCCTTAAATATTTTGTTTATTAAATTGTTATGTAGCATTTGAAGGGGGAGGTTATGAGCATGACTAGGAATCTGGAGGTTCTTGAAATCTCTAAAAGGTAATTAATATCTACAATTTCCCTATGCTGCAATAATTATATTATTTCCTCAGCTTTAACTTATGTGATACTATCCGTTTTTTGAGAGTCAAATAATTTAAATTTGACCAGAAGTTTGTGCATATATAAAATCTTTAGATCTTTTGAAATGATAATTATATATTTGTTAACTACGTAAAAAGCACTATAAATCACAATAATTGATATTTCAAAATATTTAAAAGATATATGAAAAATTTATGATTAAAGATAGACTTCTGTAAATCTCAAAACTCGAAAAGTGTCACATAAATTGAGATGAAGGGAATATAAAACTAATTTGTAGATGATTCTGAATTTATTTATTTTCTGTGTTGTTATGTTGTTGATTGCAGAAGGCTTTTAGGAGAAGATTTAGAGTCTTGTTCCATTGATGAACTTGAAAAGGTTGAAGGACAATTAGACCAAAGTTTAAGAAATATTAGGGCAAAAAAGGTACGTATGTATATGCATGGTACTTCGATTTTTCAAAAATGTTAATATAATCATATCGAATTCTTTAAAAAAAATACGCGTTAACTTAAAGAAAACACTTTTAAAAGAAGTGATTATCCCATATTAATTGGAGAAAGGAATTTTAAATACTTTAATATAGCAATATTATTTCATATCGTTATATTATTCATAATTTTTTAAATGTCTGAACAATACATAATTTAAGTGTCTAAATTCATCAAATACATTTTGAATTTAGTAATTTTAAATTTACGATATATGTAATATACTAAAGTACCCATTTAAATCATATGCTCTTTTAACATGATAAGTAAAATATTAAATGTAGAGAGTTACGAAATATATATAAAAATACATTTTTTTACATTTTTTTTCTGATAAATCCCCCCACACCCCACCCCACCTCTGTGTGCCACACACACCTTTGTGTGGCATGTGGATGCTACTTATCAAATCATAATATATACAGATTTTTTAAATATCTAATCATAATGTATATAGATTTTTGAAATATCTGATATTAAACATATCATTGACATTATATTGTGGTTATAATTTCTTGAAACTTGTGATGTTAAAATAGGTGCAGACCCACCTTGAATAAGGGGTGTCAAGCACTTAAACACCTTTTCGTCAAAAAATTATATTATATATATTATAAAATTTTTATTTATTATATATATATATATATATATATATATATATATATATAATATATA